TTCCGTACATGGGTCATGCTTGTTGTTGTTGGTTCCAACGCTCATCTGCCATCGCAGATATCAATATACCAGCGTATTTCTTCATACATCTGAGGGTCCAGTGACCCTGGGAGGGTTGTTAAAATAGTTAAGCGCCCTGTGTCTTATTGTTATATACATGCACTGAGCACTTTATTAGGTACACCTGTCCAATGGCATCTGTCTTTATGAAGCTAACAGTGGTTCAGTGTTGGTGTTGGACGTTATAAGACGTTTATTACTGAGGCCATAGTTAAAGGTGTTGTTATACCGGAATACATTACATTTAGAGGTGTTCTTAATATTTACACAAACTGGGAAAACCTGAGAGGGTTAACAGCCAGCCTCAGACTCAGTGAAGTGAGTGACCTCATGAGAGCAGGACTAAGTTGAGCTGGCTCTGTGGTGCTATGATGTAACACAACCAAGCAGGAATACATCACATCCTGTGTCAGAACACTTGGGTGTCCCCGTACCTCCACCTGCAGATCTCCGATGTCATCCACAGACCAGGCCTCATCGTCATTGTCATAGTTTGGGACCACGGAGAAGCTGCCAGCTCTCTGCTCTGCCATCATGCCACAATCCGGCAGGTTCTCCACAGAGCGAGTGCTCCTGATCCGGTTCTCTGGGATCCGGATTGGAACACTGGATGTCTCAAAGTTCTCACACTCCAGAACCTCCACGTAGATCAGGTATGGAGCCTGAGGGGTCACAGTGTGTGACAGACAGTGTGTGCAGGTTTTAATATCTTCATGTACTCAAATCTGTTCAGCAAAGCAAATTAACTACTCCTTTCTGAATTTTAGCGACAGTGTCTGCTCCTGCTCGTTTTGTTATTCTTTGCCTTATTTGGGGATAATGGTGCTATAAGTTTTAGAAACTACACCTCTCATGATACTTTGGTTGATGCAAGTGGGGCGCATTATGTTCAGTAGCTGTGAGCTACAACTTCATTCCTGTTTGTTTAGCCTGCATCAGCTCACATGTGGTCACAGTGGCCCCTTCTGAAGTGGCGGAATTAGCTGTGAGCAGCTCCTTTGTGCGCTACAAACAACCGTCCCTGGATCTCTGCGATACTGAAGGAAACTTAAAACCAGGAGGCTTCTTAGGCAGGTTCTGGAGCCTTTTCTCTGGTTTCTAAGTGGAATTATGGAAGTTTATTCTGGAAGCACATCAGAGGTAATGAGATCCTCAGGAAATGGATATCACACTGAATCAGATCAGGATGCGTGTTCACACTTTAAGGTGAGCCAGTTCTGATTCAGACGGAATCAACACATCCAGCTCCATTAACATTTTAAAACTATCACTGTGAGGACATTGGCTTAAAGTTTCAGAACCAGGTTTAGGTCAAACATCACCTTGTCTTTGGAGTTTAACACCACAGCCTGCGTGTGTGGTACTCGGACCACGTGGTGGTCGAAGGCGGCGGTGGGCAGCCAGACCCGAGCCGGGAGTTTGTGGTTGAGCAGCGACAGCTCTGAGATGAGTCGCTGGGTCTTCTGCTCTTTGGTGGGCAGTGTGGCCAGACGCTTCCCAATGCCCATCAGAGACTTGATAAACTCTCTCTGAGGAGCCAGACGCACTGGCTGGACAGCCAACAGAGACAAGGACAAACAGAGAGATAGGGACGGACAGACAGACAGAAAGGATGTTACAGGAGGAGTCTGTGTTTGTGCTGCTCTCACCTCAGGGCAACCTCAAACAGAGAATGGTAAACAGTAACAGGGAATGGTAAATTGTCTTATACTTGTATAGCGCTTTTCTATGCATTGCAACACACTCAAAGTACTTTCACACTATTTGACCATTCATGCATCAGTGTCATCACCGGGAGCAACTGGGGTTCAGTGTCTTCCTCAAGGACACTTCGACAAGTGGACTGGAGAAGCCAGGAACCAAACCACCAACCTTCTGGTTAGGAGATGACCCCACTCTACCTTCTGAGCCACAGGTTTTTGTGTCAGGTTTGTGCTAAGAAACACGTTACATGCTCAGTATGATGCTACGGTGTTAACTGGGTGCTACCACGGCGGCAGGATGTTAAAAGGGTGATAGCATATTGTAAACAGGGTGCTGGCATGTTGTTTATAAGCTGTTAGCAGGATGTTAAAAGGATGCTAACATGTTGTAAACAGAGTGCTAGCATGGTCTTAAAAGGGTGTTAACAAGGTGCTAGCACAGTGCTGAAGATTTCATCTGGACGTGGTTGGGCCGGGGTTGGGTCACCTTGTGACCTCAAGATTTCTGAAAGCTGTGTCTTCACCTGCATGCTGTACTCTGATTGGCTGGTTTCACCACATCAGCTTTGGCCTGGGACATATAGGACACACACACACACACACACACACACACACACACTGAACACAAGCTGCATCAAACCTGACACACAAACAGTGGGTCAATAAGAAGGATCACCACTGCTCAAAGATCAATTTGTGTCCTCAGTGTTTCACCCACAACATCAGACAGCTGATTGGACCCAATCCGCTTGTTAAGTGTGACGTAACGTTCCATTTCCAGGTCCAAACTCGCCCAGACCCAAATAGCGGAGTCTGTCACCCTCTACAACAATAACATGTTTTTTTCTTTAGCGAGACATCAAGAGTAAAAAAAACATGACTACATTCTTAAAACTCAAATAGTCAGTGTTGCCATTACACCTGGTGGCATAACAACAAACTTTATTATATGTTGTTTATATGTTGTAGTAAATTTATTACAATATATGGCTATATAGGTTTATACTTGTATATCTAAGTCATTTTAACAGTTCCCAGCTTTTATTGTTACTTTCACCAGTGTAAAATGTGTCACTGTATAGTGTTTACATTAATTTCGTGCTAACTAGCTAGCTAATGTTTCTTTTAAAATTCTATTAATTTAAGAATACTGTGACTTATCCAATCATTTGTAGCCATTTCTTTTCCTCCTTCCCATCACAAAGTAAGCGGTAAAATGACAGCCGACCTGTGATTTTTGTTTCAGATTTATGGAAACAATGGGGAAGACAACACTGTGGTGTATGCAGAGGAGGAGAACCAATCAAAGTTCGGATCCGGAAACAGAATGTTACGTTACCACTTAACAAGCAGATACAAAGAATCACGGAGCGATGTCCACGGACATGCAGCTCGCACCCATCTCTACAGTAAGCTGACATGGGACTTCACCAGAACCAGAACCCACAGTTTCCATCACACACTTGATTTCCCACAATGCACCCTGGAGGTCAGAACAGGAAGCTGGTGAACTTACGGGACCAGTCTCAAACTCCAGACCGTCCGAGCTGGAGCTGCTGTCCTAGAGGTTAGAGGTCAGACGTTTAGAGGGTTGTAGAGTCACATGGACACCCAGGGTGGGAGGGGATTAAAAAAAAAAAAAAAAAAATCAATTTGCATTAAAATTGCGATTCATATCATCTACAGGTCGAAATGGATTCATAAATGTTAAAAGCCCATTTTTGTCATAATGTTGACAGGATGAAAAAAGCAGAAGTGAACCGCGAACCCAGTGTAGTACACAGAGAGCGCGCACATAATAGAATTTTGTTGCAACTGTGTCTGCAGATGGACTGCAAGAGCTAATCTGATCCCAGCATGGACATATCCAGTCAACGCAATTAGAATTAATTCATATACGTCTATAAGTTTAGAAGCTCATTCACAGTTCAAAGGTGTGAAGAGACTCGTGAAATCCTACAGGAGAGCACCGTAAAAGCCAGTCAGTTGAATCTGTGGCCAAACCTTTTACAGTGCTGCATATTCAGAAAGTATAATGAATGAAGTGACATTCATTACAAGATGATTAGTTAAAACATTCCAATATGCACCTGCGGTTGAGCATTTTCTGACTTTCAGTCAAATAAAACAATTTCCAGTCATTTCATCACTGAAGATTTCTTAAAGATTGTGTTAAAATATTGTCTCGTTCTCATGAACCCAGTATCATGTATTGACTCGTCACGCCCCTAGACATCTAGTTAGGGGTGTGATTAGTCAGCTAATTCCCCTGAGATAACTAGCAGTGGTGACAACATTTAATATAAACAGGTCTCTACACAAAGTTAGCTCCACAGATAGAGAAATGAACTGTCATCCAACACATCAACAAATAGTACAGGTTCAGCTTAAAGCACAGAAATCCCCTCACACAGTTAATGTTAGCTTAAAAAACATTGTCATGTTGTTTGCAGATGTGCTATATCCTATTCATGCAAAAACTAAGACAAGTGCAGTGTAAACAAACAGCTTCACTCCAGAAACTCCATTGGTTTACTGACCTCACAAAGGATCATGAAAAAGGAACTCTATATGCCAATTTAAGGGTTTTTTTTTTGAATATTATAAACATGACTATAGATTTTCCATCCAAATCCATCTGCTCCTCTCAGCTATCACCAGTTCACCAACACAACACATCAAACACAGGACCCGGTGGAGTAGTCATTAAACAGCCTTACCATACAGTAACAGTGTGAGCTACCTTACCTTAAAACTCACATTTATTTCTGCAGTTTCAGGATTAAACAACCCACAGCTCTGACCAGGCTGCTCGAGCCAACAGCTAACTCTGCTCCCTGAGCTAACAGGCAGGTAAACATTTTGCAGTCCTTACTTTTGTGATTTGTGCAGTTTTAGCCATAAAACAACTTCATGGCCATCTCCTCATAAGCTCGTTTATTTCTACTGCTAACATGCAGAACTTTCCAAATTACCATGGAAAACAGGCTACGTCTTTGACGGTTGCAATGTGCGTAAAGCAGTGTTTCTCTCTCTTCTCCTCAGATGATTTCACTGTGCTAACTAGACTCACATCTGCTAGAGAAGCTTTAATGTCTTAGTGGGAGAGAGTGACTGAGTGGATAAGAATGATTGAAACTGGGATGGGGGGCCAGTGGCCCTATGGCTCCCCTACTTCTGGCGCCCTTGCACCCAGTGCAGCGGTGTGACTCACTGCGGAGGTTTAAAAGCTGGTGGACAACACAGAGCAATAAGCAAAACCAGGGTCTGGACTCACGGTGAGGACACCATATTCACTGGTGCTGCTGGTCTCTGGACGGGGTTTGTGCACAGTAACATAAACATACAAAGTCACTGGCTGCATCTTTTAAATTGTCCAGACAGTTCTGGTCCCTGCAAACCTGCAGGACACCTGTGAGACATTTCAATTGGTATACTGCATTCCACAGTGACAGACTCTATTAGTCTTCATGGTTTTCAGAACTTCATTTCATATTAAACATTTTTAACTCCAGCATCCAGTGATCCTTGCTGCTCCTGACCACCGTATTTCCAGTGAACTCTTTACTGGCTACTATCAACGAAAAACAGGCACAATGCATGAAAAACGCTAAGGCTGCCAGTTCAGCACTACTGGTGTGTTACCTCATCCTGGCTGCTCTCCACCTTCGGGTTACTGGCTGTTCTCTTCAGGTTGCTGCTCAGACTGATGCTGACCGTAGCATCCGATTTGGAGCGCTGATGTGTTCGTTTAGATGGGGACAAACCATGGTCTCCCCCCGGGGGCCCAGGGCCAGTGGCAGGGGATATTACGGGACAGAAAGACATCAGAGTAAGGGGATCTCTGCGAGCTCTAGGCACCGCAGGTCTGAGTTCATCAGAGAGAATGAGTTTCCTCAGTTTGGTTCCTAGAGAGTGACGCTGGGTGGAGATGTGCATATCAGAGGAGTAAGCTCCCAGCAGCCAGGCACACTGCAGGCTGAAGGAGATGCTCTGCCTGCAGCGGTGCACCTGCAGACAGCACACAGGTGTAAAGGGACACACCAAATGAAAATATAAGGTGAAGATATGGGTGTGGTGTAGGTATGATACTGAGAGAAACTAAAATTAAAACAGTGAATGTAAACTTAGTAAACTAAGATGTCTTCACTCTACCAAACAACTCACCTGAGAAGAATTGATAAGGAAATCAGAAGGATTTATATTTGATAAGCAGATGTGGAACTGGACTCAGATGCAATAAAACGTCATAAAATAAGTTATTCGGTGCTGAGACAGTTTGGTCTGGACCATTTTTTAAAGCAGTATTAAACCAGTGCCTGTGCTACACCCACCACATAAGGCTTGATGGCATCCCCAACATCCTCATCCATGTGGATGTACATGTTGAGCAGCTGCGGCAAGTAGAAGTCCACCTCCTCGTTGGGGAAGCTGAAGAGCCGATTCCCGATGTACGCCTGCACACCGGGCTCCTTCGAATTGTGCAGGTAGGAAATTGCCATGGAAACATCAAAAAGCTTGGATTCGAACAGGCGGAGCAGCCACGACTGTTTGGAGGGGTTGTGTCTCTGCCGTCGCCGGGCACTCTTCACCGAGCCAGGAGCAGAGCCCTCTGGGTTGTCCTCCTCCTCCTGGATCTTCAAAGGTTTCACCGCAGTGGTCAGAGCAGGTGTCTCTGGGTCAGGCCTGTTGTGCAGGTGGTGGCCATCACCATGCAGCTTCACCTTCTGTAGCACCTCGTGACATGCCCGCTGGGCCACCTCAGCGTCAATCACCAGATTGAGCTCTGCCCCACCTTCATTGATCACAACCAGAGGAGGGATGATGGTGTGGTGGGGGCCACAGGTCGAACAGGGGGTGGAAGGGAGGGACAGGGAAGGGGAGGAGGATGTGGAGAGGGAGGAGGAGGGGCTGTTCTGCTCAGAGGGGGCAGGGGAAAGCTCTGGCTCTGTTTCCTCCATCATCGCCACTGGGAAGCTCTGCCCCCTCCAGGGGAAACAAAACAAGTCAAAGGTCATTAATAAGGCAAGATCCAGTCAAAGGTCAAACAATGGAAAAAGTTGGAAATCATTTCTGCTACATGTTCTGGTCTGCTGCTGCTGCTTTATGTGCAGTGTAAAACATAACACAGGTATAAACACAGACTGAGTGAGATCAGGGGGTACTGCACAAAAGCAGATTTAAGAAACCCAGGTTAACAAGACAAAGTGAGGTTTGACCTAGTCTGCCAAGTGCATCCTGGCTTAATGCGATTCACAAAGGCTAAGCCAGGTTGAGGATTGTGGCTAGGTGATGATGCCAGGTCTAAGTAATTCAGATGAATGTGCTTTCACAGATTTCTTCAGACCACAAGTGGATCACAGATTCACCGATGCTGACATACAAGCTGCATTCCATCTGGCCATGCTGCTACACAGCATATTAAGTACGGTCGTTAAAATGAATGACTCCACACCCAACCGGCACGAACGGCACCGTCCTGGTTGTGGTTTTGAGCACATTTCAGATACACTCATCAAGCACGCTCATGGACGCTTATGGGGAATTCAGGCACATGATCTGTAAAAACAAAATGAAACACAGACACCAAGACCTGCCAGGTGGCAGCGGACCGACTGACTGTGTAAAGTCGCCTAAAGGATAAGGAGGATAACCACCATTATTGGCCAGGTATGTTACACACAAGGAATTTGTTTCCGGTACAGAACTGAGGCAGCCATCTGTGGCGCCAACTCAACCGATGGCTCTAACCATCGGGGGCAACTTGGGGGTTCAGTGTCTTGCCCAAAGACACGTGGACTGCAGGCACCGATATTCAAGCCTCTGAGCCTCCGGTTGGGAGACGACTGCTCTACTCACTGAACCACAGTTGCCCCCGCACACATTGACTAACCACTGTTCTTAACTGAAACCATACGTGACTCAAGAAATATACCACAAAGGTTAATTACAGCCACAAATCCACAACCTAAATGTGTAAAGTTCATTCTGCAAATGGTAGAATCTGGGTGATATTGTAAGCATGTTCCCACTTACAAACCTGAAACTTCTCATCAGCAATTTCTAAATTCGATAAATCCACAATAAGCAGATCTTAACGCAGAGGCCTATTTTGGGTGACTGATCTCTTTGATATTATTGGCATTAACTTGGCTTAAAATATTTGCTAAAAATAAAACTGAACAGTACATGATTAAACTTTGTTTTATCATTGCAATCACAGTCTTTATCTATTCAATACAGCCAGTATAAGTAACGTGATTATTATGTCAACTTTAAAGATTTTGGTGTCTGCAAAAATAAGATCGGTGACATCTCTTCCACTGTTTTCTAAAATAACCAATATAGGCTTTTTAGATATATATATATATATATATATATATAGTAAAGGAAGACAAACACATACAGTAGTATAGACTGACTCCATTGAAGACGCCTTTGCAGCTTTATCCCCTGTCTCTAATCGCCTCAACAGCTGCAATAAAATTCATCTAACTTCTAACAGTAATATGAACAGCAGTCTTCATGAACACAATCAGTAACAATGACTATCACATTTAACAGATTAACTGTGAAAGAATTAACTGGTTTCTGATCAGAGTCACTACTGACAGAATCAATAAGGCACCAGGATAAATTAAGCCTGGCTGTTAGCCTGGTCTGGAGCAGACAAGCTGCACAGAACAAACTTCCATGGGAACTTAATCTATCTTAGTTTAACCCGCTTTCATGCAGCCGAGTCAGGACTAAATTCAGCCCAGATAACTGGAAAATCCCAGTGTAATCCCTTATCTTGGTTTTGTGCAGCACCCCCTGGTCGAACACATCCCGAGGATCTGATCATGCTCCTATTTGATGCAGTTCAATTTGAATCAAGCAAGTCTACAACACACATAACATCTGCTCATATCTGACCTACAGTGTTACCTTGTGAGGCTACAGTAAGTGCCACAGTACACTTTCGCATCATGTGCTGTGTCTATACACACCATGCTAACAGTGGGCCATGGGTCTCAGTCACACGTTTAATTACTGTGTGAGACAGTACAGTTGGTATATTTTTGAGTTTACCTTTGAAAACTCAGTAAAACTGTCCACCAGCTGCCAACGCCTTGTGCTTGAGAGCTCTCTTCCCTGTTCCAGGCATTCTGGAGCCAAGGTTGCCCTGTTCACAAAAACACCAGAAAATAGAAAGTTAAAATCTTCACGCTCTAACATGTCAGTATTCTACCATCTATTGACAAAGGAAATACATGTGCACAGACTTTTTGGTACACTGTAAAAACTGACCAAATTAATTATTCAAGCTTATCAATATATTGTTTCCCACTGATCTGAACACCAGTAGATTTAGGACAGGATTTTCCTTAATATCTCGACATGTTCCTGTTTTATTCTTGCAACGTCTGTTCATTCACCTCACTCACAACACTGTCCATGAGCACATCAGTGTGTTTTATAGGGTGTCTGTGCTTATGTGTGGTCTGTTGTAACTAATCCTCGAGCTCTGATGAAGCATCTATCTACATTTTAAAAAGGAAACAGATTCAATCACTATACCATTAGTCGAGATATCTATAATCACAGTTCAACTCATCTTAACTGCTGAACATAAGTAATGAGTTTTAAAACTAAATTCCCCCACTGACAACCAGACTTCAACACAAACGACCTGCACATTTCATACAATAACAGATGTATCTTGCAGCTTTATAAACAGTCTTTTGGTTTATTACAGCTCGTTTCGTATCGTTCGGGACTGTAAACACTGGATTAGTAATGCTCTACACGTGAACACAATATAGAAAAATAATAGTTTGTTAAATCGTCTTTTGAGCCGTTGTACCAAGACTCGGACGATGTTAGCCTAGCATGGCTTAGCGCGAAGCTAACTGCGACGGGGGGGAGACACTAAGACTCCTTAACTTCTCCAAAAGAACCGTTGCCACTGAAATGGTAGTAAATCAGCGTCAACTGTAACGTTACGGTTCGAGTCATCATTAGCGTAGACGGGTTAAAGTTCAGTTATAAACGGACCAAGTTATCAAACTGCTAGTTACAAACTAAAAATTAGCATCGCCCTGTTAACAGTTAGCCTCGAAAATACTCGGAGGCTAGCTAATTACATGCTGGCCTAAACCAGCTTTGGATCTTGACTTTAACACAAATTTGGCCAACTCCAGCATTAGCCGAGAGATATCAGGCCAAATGTTTCTATGTCCGCTCAGCTGTTTAAAATCTGTATGCTAAGCTAACATTAGCACCCTCATAGTAACATGTCTGCGCTCCAAGTTAAACGATGTACCCAAGTATTTTCAAGTGAGTCAGTCTTACCTGGTGATAGTTTAGCGGGTCTAAAGTTGTTTTATATCCAGTTCTTGTGCTCCATTGATTCAGTTTGATCTTCATCTCACAACTATAGGTTGTAGCTAGCGCACAACAGGGGACGCTGTCGCTGATTCTTCATCTGCTCTAGTTGTTACCCGTTGGTCTCTCGTGCTGGCTGTTTCATTTAAAGGTAAACAAAATGTAACCCAGGTTATGTTTTGAAGCTTTTTTTTGAGACAGACTGTAGTTTGGGTCATATTTTTGTGGATACAATGCACTGTGCACTCGATCTCTCTGTTTGTTTGTGTGTATGTGCATACAGCACATGTGCAAAGATATTACTGGACATGCAACTGACTTCACCATGGTTCAGTGTTTGGACATTAATTCTCAAGAATGCTGAACACAAACATAAAATGTCTACAGCTTCCCCTGACCTACAAAGCAGCAGTTCACATAGCGAGGGTACTACAGCAAGGAAGATGTTTTCAGCTTTGTGTGAGAAAAAAGGTCCATTCTTTTGAAAAGAGAAGACTAATAAAAAGATATATTTCTCTATATGAAATTTATTATGCATTAACGTATCAAAATAAGCATGTGCACATGGATCTCATCTGTTTAGGATAAACAGAAAAGACTAAATTCAACTTAGCAGTACACAACATTTATATGAAAGAATGTTGCTCTCTGATTGGTCCAAAAACTGTTGGGGAGGAATTGTGGTTTAAACTTAATTCTCCCAAGATTGGTCCTTCAGTCCGTCCATCCTCCTCCTCTGATCCAATGGTTGTAAACACCCAGGGTTACAAAAACAAGGATTAAAATGTACTAAGATCAAACTTTGCAGTCAGGACAATATAACAAAAAAATCTGGTTGTGTCAACCCAGAGCTCATACTTGGCTGCTGTTGTAAGTGAGGGTCTACCTGGGCAGCTAGAGAATGAGTTTCACATTTCTGATCAGAGGGAAGACACTGCTGCTGCCATCACTATACATCGCACAGGCCAGAGGATGTGTTGAAACAAATGAGTGCATCAAGTTTTACTGTAAAAAGTAACAATATAATCTACATTAATGTGAAATGTGCCATTTTGCACAATGACCGATTTTATTTTTGCTACTTCAAGTGTACTTTCCTGCCGATACCTTTGTACTTTTACTTAAATAACATGTTGAATGCAGGACATTCACTTTTAACAGAGCGTTTGTCCACTGTGGTAATGAAACCTTTACTTCTTCCATCACTGGGCACCATACTGCTGGGGAAAGCGAAGATGACTGTGCCAGGACCTCTGAATTTGGCAGCACAGCTGAGAATATTTTGTTGAAATGGTTAAATTGTGTTCAGTTTCTGTGTCTCTTGTCAGGTCAAACAAAATTAAGCTTGTTCTTTGGCATTAAATACAAATACTCAGATGACCGATCAACCTAAACTTTATTTAAACATCAGTTGTGTTTACATTGCAGGAGAGCGACAGGTAATGGTGAGACACGTGAGTCTGATCTGATCAGATGCAGGCTGACAGTTGATTTGTTAGGAAAAAGAAACTTGACAGAGCAGGAAGTGACTGTGAGAAGAAACTAAATGAAAAGATGATGTAAGTGTAGGGTGAATATCCTGTCTGGGCATTTGCAGCCACAGAAATCACTGATGCGACATCTTCACAGCCAGATGTCAGACGTACAGTCCCCTCCTGGATATCGCAACTCATGGGCCAGAACCGGACCATCAGGTTCTTTACCGAAATCCACCAGGAATTTCTTGTTCAGGGACAGACCTCCACTCACAGAGTTCACATCGATCTGCATCATGAGCGAGCCCTTTCTGAAAAGAGAGAGGACAGGAGACGAAGTTTATCACAGGTCACTATGTGGCCAAAAGTATGTGGACAGTTACCAGCAAATATCAAATAGCATTTTAGTTTGAAATACCCAATCCAGGTGACTAGTGCACATACTTGACCATATCGGGGTAAAACTGTTTGTCCCAAGCACTGTACAGAGACGTCGTCACATAAAGTCTCCGACCATCCAAACTCAGCTGCAACATCTGAGGCCCTCCATAGACACGCCTCCCCTGAGAGAGAGAGGTGAGACAGAGGTAAGAGGGGGACAGGTGGACACAGTTAAGCAGAGACAAAGGTGAAGAAAGGGTAACAACCAATCAGTAAATAATCAATAAACCCCGCAGGGGACAGCAGAGAGATCCATGCTGTCACATCACTTCCTGTCTGCTGTACCTTGATGATGCATGGAGGGGGTTGTGGCTGGTTCTCAGGGTCCTCCAGGACTTTAACTGGCCCATCACTGACAATACTTCCTCCCAGAAACACCTGAAGCAGACAGAGTGGTGAGCTGTCTCAGTCTCCGTTTTCTACCTTTCCAACATCATCAGTGGACCAGTGTATTATCTGAGCTCACCTGTCCAACCATTCGGGGGTTCCTCCTGTCTGTGATGTCATACTGTCTGATGTCGCCATGCAGCCAGTTACTGAAGTAGAGAAAACGGTCATCCAGTGAGATCAAGATGTCTGTGATCAGACCTGATGGGACAAACAGACGGATAACAGGTCAGACCAGACACCAGAAACTAGACCAGACACCAGTCAGCCAGACCGGAAACCAAACCATACACCGGTCAGCCAGACCGGAAACCAGACCATACACCGGTCAACCAGACCGGAAACCACCAGACCGGAAACCAGACCCACCGGTCAACCAGACCGGAAACCAGACCCGACACCGGTCAAGGAGACCAGAAACCAGACCAGACACCGGCCAGTCAGTCAGTCTCACCAGACATCTCAGGCAGCATCCATCCCTCCACCTTCTTACTGGGAACACTGATCACCTTCTCTGCAGCCCAGTCACTTTTCTGAAAACACACAGACACTGATCAACAACCAAGACCAGGCACGTAGATGTTACCTGTGGCTGCTGGTTTAAACCCCACATTTTATAGGAACCAACCCTGGAACTAGTGTTGCTTTCGTCAATGAAAATTATGACTAAATGACGTCGTCAACGAACCTTTATCGCGTGACGAAAACGAGACGAGACGCAACAAAAATGCTGGTCATGTGACGATGACTATAATTAAATATATAATGCAATATTGTTGACGATAAAAAACGAGACGAAATGTTATGTTATTTCGTCTTGTTTAGTCATGTTATTATTATTATTTTGCAGTATTTCTGTTTCCCGTGTCTCGCTTCAGGGGCCGCATCAGAACACAGAGAAAGGGATCGATGGCCGGCCAGCCGCGGTTTGTCATTGGGAGAAAAAGAAGAAACGACATTTGGAAAAACTTTAATTACATAGAAGTGGAAAAGAAAACGGAATTTGTTGTGGAAAAAGATGGGGAGAAATGTGGCCACAAAATCACACAAAATGTGTATTGGATGTACTCTTGAGTCTATAAGGTAACAATAATATAATAAGATAACCTTGTTTGAAATGGGTTTGACTAAAAGAAACGTTTTGGTCTCTATACTACTAGTAGGTACTTATACTCTATAGACTGGGTTAAATAGAATTGCATTACTAAAAAGAGACTAAAATACTATTTTCATTGACTAAAACTAGACTAAAATGTCATCAGTTTTCGTCGACTAAAACTAGACTACACTAAAAAGAGTATGAATTGACTAAAACTAATAAAAACTAAAATGACAGCTTCACACAAAGACTAGACTAAAACTAAACTAAAAACAGGCCGCCATAAACAACTATACCTGGAACATAATTTTAGCAGCTGTATTCTTCCTGGGATCTAAAGCCCTGTGGTACTCACTGAAGTATTAGTGCAGACCAGTTTATATGATACTAAGTGGAATCATAGTGGGATCTGGAGCCCTGTGATCCACCCTAGAGTCCTGCTGGGATCAGGATCTAGATCCCTGTGGTAGTGACTGCAGTCTTACAAGGATCAGGAGCTAGAATCTTCTCCTTATGACAAGGACCTATAACCCTGTGGTACTGACTTCTGTTTTGAAGAATCTGAAGACTGTTCCTTGCAGGGCACATCCCACGTAGCCCTCAGTGGCGCTGGGGTCGTGGAGGAATCGCACCTCCAGAGGAATAGTACCCTCTTCACCCAGATCAATTGTCTGCAGCTTCCTGTGGGTGGTCCAGTCCCAGACATGGATGGATCTGCCGTAGTGACCTGGGACACCAACAACAAAGACCTGAGGTTTTGTCCGAATGTGCAGCAGGTAGTTCTTGGATGTTTGTAGAGCTGAGTGGAAACTATCAGCACTGATGGGCTTTTACTTTACTGCATGACATTTTTTCCCAGCAGTCCTGACTACAGACTAGCACCAGAAGCTTGTGTTACTCACCATAGACTAACCTTTAATCCTGCTGTACTAACTGGGCTTTTACTGGAATAAGACACTGAATTGCTGTTGTTCAGACTTGAGTCTTACTGAGATCAGAACCTGATGGTGCTGCTGGTGGTTTGTAGATTTTAATGGAGACTTACTGGACCTTCTGTGCCAAGTTATCTCAGTAAAGGAGTGAAATAGAAACACTAAGACTTGTGGTTAGGAAAGGTTCATCCTGACCCACCTTCTATGACGTGAGCTGGATTAAATCCATCAGCCAGAAATTTAGGTGCCCCCCATTCGGTGCTGATCATCACGTTGTGTCGCGGTTGGTACCAGAAGTCATACCCAAAGGGCACAGCTTCACCCGGGAGCTCCCAGTTACCGACCACCTCAAATGTCTCACCATCCAGCAGGATGAACCCACCTGTGAGGACGACAGCAGGCATAGTGTACATAAACAGTACTACTGAAGATGATTGTATACTTGGGGTTTGAAGGACCTGCAGTTGGCTCTGGGTCTCACCCTTGCCATTGCCATACGGGTCTCCCATGCAGCTGATCATGATCTGACCATTGGCCAGACAGTGGGAGGTGTGAGGGTTGGCCAGACCGCACTTCCAGTACACATCCACAGGTTCCACCATCTGAAGTCAAGAAACCACAATAAAAAGATCAATGAAAACAAAGTGAGTTTGTTTTTATGGAGTAAAACAAAGCAAAAGCTGCAGAGCGCTTCGCAACAAGCACTTAATTTAAAAACAAGACATCTCTGCTGAACTAACTCACATTTTGATGGTGTCAGCAAAGCACTAGCAATGATCTGAAACACCCTGGCATTTGAAACTGGGACTTTGTTCCAAACTGTGGTGTGATGTCTGGACCTGGAACTTTGGACGCACATACATGTCCCACTTCAAAATGCCTGTGCTGAACCTGGAACTTTGGATACACATGCATGTCCCACTTCAAAATGCCTGTGCTGACTCTGAACCAGTCCATCTGGTGAACCAGAACCTGAGCTACTGACCAGCAACCTCAGACTGGGAGGTGCTGACTCTCATCCTGCCCCAGTGCTCACTGGTCCCAGTCTGAAGAAACCAGCAGAAACACATCCTCTATCAGAAGCCAAGAATCTGTGTCTCTGATCATTATTTTTATGATTATCAGACAGAATGAACCCTGGAGTTCAACTTCTCTTCCCGTTATTTGAAATCTTTAAAAGGTTTTTTATTTCCCCACTTCATCCACAAAAAGTCAAAAGTCTGTCAAACAATTTAAGTTTTATCAAAGAGCAGCTGGGACAGTGCTTATCAGCCTGAACTCTGGATGAACCTTCATCCCCAGAATAACAAGCTTCTGACATGTTTTCACTCTTAGGTTATTCCTCTGAATTTAAAAAAAACAGCTGCTGTTTCCACGTGGACCCACTAAATCCTGGTCCTCCAGGGACACTCTATGAGACCAGACCTGAATTTGTGGAAATCGGGCAGGAGCCTCCTCGAGCTCCTTTCATGTCACTTTATGTTGTGTTATGTTGTGTTGTGCCCCTGCCAAACAATTAATCAAGTCACCACACACTAAATAACAATGGACCTGCAGCTTTAAGACCCCTGAGGCACTGGGCCCCAGGGAGAAGGTCTCAAATGACTTTTCCTTCAAAAGCAGCATGAAAAACAAAGTGAGAAACAAGAAGTCCAGTTTTGCTCAGTTGCGTTTCCTGCCTGCTGTAAAAACCAGATCACATATTCAGCAGTTTCAGTCAGTTCATCACAGATGTGTCTTTATGAAAACTTCAGAGAAACCATGTTGGTGTTTTACTGACAAAGTACTTGACATACCTGCCCCACTACAAACACTTCCAGCTGACTCTCAGACTCTTCTAGTAGCTTAGGAAATGGATGAACTGCACATTGTCTTCATCACAATAACCAGGACAATTTGAAAATGAAGGTTTGTTTGCAGTGAATTGCTGCAGTCAAGATTTACAATGGATTTTAGATACATGGGGAAATTAGGGTCACCAGTGTCAAACAGAATGCTAACACAACAGACCAGCACTGTGAGGATCCTAACAGCAGCCTCATGCTAACAGTCAGGAAGAAGAAATCTGGTATTTCAGTGGGACCTTCTTGGACAAAAACAGGATAAAATAAAAAGTGAGTCCTTAGACCCTCGAATCAGAGTAGCAATAAAAAAATCTTTAAGAGGGGAAACAACTGAAGGAAGTTCAGGAAGGGCAACAGAAAAGGGAGCCCTGTTCAGGACAGACAGACAGGAAGTAGATGTATAAAGAAAAGGTCCACAGCCTCAGTGCTCGTACCTTGTGTAACTGCGGCGCCCTGGGATTTGTCCCCACATCGACCACGTAGATTCTGGACGAGATGAGCGACGGCAGAATCAAGCGGTTCCTCTTCTTGGAGGCGTCTCCAAAGCAGCTGCTGCAGGCGTTCCAGCCCGAGTGATGCAGCTCGTCACGAAGGTTCGGCATCGGCAGCCGGTGGATCACCTGACGGGGCAGAGGCCAAAGTTCACGATCATTTTCATTTCTCTTCAGGCTGGGTTTATTTATATACAGATCTGCAAAACCACAAGGATTCTATACATTTACAAGAAGGTTAAAGACTTTAAAAGGTGCATTAACTAAGGTTTTGCACAGTCTGATCAACCCAGTGAAAGTGGGACATGGTGTGTCTCAGCTGTAGCACACTGGGTTCCTACAGCCCTTCTGCTTAAGAAACAGGTGGACCTAAAGAGCCAGCAGTGGCCAGTTCAGGCGCTCAGTAGCCGGATCTACCTGGCAGTAGGTGGGGGATTTTGGATCCACGTCGACAGTAGCAAGGTAGTCTGGTTTCTGGATGTCTGTGTTGCGGTAGATACAGGGCAGGTAGACAATCTCCTCCCGAGGACCTTCGATAAGAAAAACAAGAAAACTGTGTGAATCCACATCTAAAGTCCAGAAACAGGGAGGCTGCAGAATCCAGATCATCCTGAAGGTGTATGGGCATTAGACCAAGGAGGCACGTGTTGTAATGTCCTGACAAACTGTCTGACACATGCTTTGGAAGATTCTGCCAAAATACTTCCACGGGAGCTAGAATCCAAGTGCATGTTCAGTTCATCAGATGGTGACATTTATGTTGACTACAGACATATGGAATAAATCACTACGCCTGTCATAAAGGCATCAGCAGAGGTACAACAGGACACTAGCTAGGAGGAAAAAGCTGGTAAACAACAAATCACTCTCAGTAAAAAGGTTCATTTGTTGGAGACTATTTGATTTAAAATGAATTCTGTGTGATTTGATACCAGAAGAAAAATGGAGACGAGCAGCAGCTCTGCAGTAAGAGGAAGGAAGGATCGGCATCTGACTGGCTTTGCTACAACTCAAGTGGAGTTGGATTTGATGAAAGGGATCATGAGTTCAGTCTGGGGTGTCAGAAGATGTTCTGAGGAAGGAGACCAGGACTGGAACTGATAATCTGAACAGTGAACCAGACGTGTCTCACCCTTCATGGCATCCAGCGGGCTGCAATATCCCGGTCCACATCCTGAACAGCTGGCTGAGAAAACACAACAACAGATGAAAGACATCAGAGGGTTCAGTACTGGACCAGCACTGCTGGACAGCAGGCATCCCTGCAAAGACCTGTATCGCTGTCCAGAGAAACAGTGGCGTGGAGCAGCAGCTCCACAGTTCACAGTCCACCTTTTACTTCTCAGACTCATGCACTCTTGATCAGTAATACCCAGCATAGGCCTCTGATGTATACACAGCTGTAATGAATCACAATATTTTAAACAAAGGCCACAACATGCTGTGCACGGTTAGTACTGTTGGTACAGCTGTAGCAGGGGGCGGATTCTCACCGTTCTTATCAGGTGTGCCAGCTCCTACACCTGTACAGCACACCACCTGTAGGCTTCCTATTATTATTATTAATAATAATAATAATAATGTTTTATTTTTCTTCTGCCAAGATTTCGCTGTGATACTCATCATTAATAATAATAATAATAATAATAATGTTTTATTTTTCTTCTGCCAAAATTTCGCTGTGATACTCATCCCATAGTTTTTGAGATACGTGCACAAAATTCATGTATATGTCGTGTCTTCCCATTGGGAGTAGTGTGCTATAACTTCTGGTGAGGATCCGAGCTACAGTTTGCATACAAATTGCGAAAAACGAGTGATTACGCGATCACGAGTACAAATGCCGTACTGGGATGTTCTGTGGGTCCTTCTGGTTCTTGTGGTCTGTGATCTGGATGAAAATAAAAGTGCTCCATCTTGTCTTACACAGACACACTGTTGCTCCATCTCTGCCTCTTTTTGTCGGTCTTCCGTTTCCTGTCACTCTGCCCTAGGACTTTCCTGTATTGTGTTGTATTATGTCATGATCCAGCCAAATCCTACGTCATTCTCTACATGATTCAACAGGATGTCACCGGGTGTTGTTTCATCACCTGTGGACAAACCCTGTACCGCCGTGTCCGACCGCAGCGTGCGCCCTGGGTGACGCGAGTGGCGGCTGGAGCTCGCACGCCTAAAATTCCTTCTGAAATGTTTAATTCTCCAGGCATCCTGTGCACCCATCAGTCTAGAGGAGCTGCGGTGGTTTTACAGTCAGCTGCTGTGACTGGACCCACGCAGTGAGCTCCGGTTTAAGATCTGTCCCTCAGGGACAGTAGTCTAGTCTCGGCCAGCCCTTTGTTCACCTGCTGCCGGCTGGTGTTACTTTTCCTTTTCGTCTCAGAGCTGAAGTATAATATCTATTGCTACGAGTTTGCCTGAAGCTAAAGTTGAACTGAGAACAAACCCAAACCCGTCTAAACCCACACTCTGACTTTGGCCCCTAGGGGGCGCTCTTTCAGACGTTTCCACGCGGTTCTGACTGACTCGGTGTTGAAAGCTCCGAATCTCCTCATGTCACTGCAGCGGTTTTCAATTCGTAGCAGGTGTAAGAGAAGTCAAACCTGCACACCATCTCCACCAGCCCGGAGTCCTGTGAACAAGACGCAGCTTTGGTCCAGTAAATGTGTTGTCACACAGCAAACACCACTCCTGCTTTATCACAGAGCAAACACCACTCCTGCTTTGTCTTGTTGCGCAGTTGTTTTGTGTCTGAGGAAACGTGCCACATAAATATGTGTTGTTCTAAAGAGCTGTAATATCGGGCACAAACATGTGTGCACACACACACGTTTCCTGACAAACAACAACGTGGAAGCTCATTCAGATCCATCGTCCTCAGCTCTGACACACAACTGGTTCCACAGTGTTTACTTTTTCTCACATTTCCACCATGTTTGTTGCTGACTCTGCCCCATTTCCTCTTTTACTCACTCTGACTTAATGGTTGCAAAGTTTACTTTCACGGAAGACCATGAAATCACAACCTTTGGATCCTGGGCTTGTTATATTTTGTGTGGAGAAGTCTAAATATCGGAGCTGCCCCTGGACCCAAAGCTACGCCTCCACATTGCAATCAAAATAAATCCTAAGGCCTTGGAGTGACAAGTGCAGCGTATAATGACATTTTGGCACATTTTTAAAATTATTTAACAAAATGGATAACAGGACATTTAGACCTCTAGCTGCTCTTGTTGCATTTCTGCCTCTCTTAATGTTTGTTTGCTCTCTTGCCTGTAGTTTGTCCTGATGATCCACTGTCATTTAACAGTTTAAAATCTATGGACTGCACCTTTAGTTTTCCCTCATGAGAACTTGAACCAGAACAAAGGTCATCAACACAGCTGCAGCTCTTCTCCCACCAGACTCCATGCGGGAAAAAAACATAATTTAAGTAGCTGCATTGGGGCTGATTAAATAGAGAAAATTAAAAGAGCTCACCCATTATCTGAGCTCCTGGTCTGGTCAGATCCTGTAGTTCCCGCTCTCAGTCCTCTGGACTGTCAAGACAAGATCCACAACAAAAAACCAGCAGGGTGGAGTGTAGTTCCAGCCAATCAGAGCGGAGGCTTGGGGCGCACACTGGCCAAGAAAGCTGCATGTTAACCCTCTGAGCTTCAGTTTAACATGAACTGTGTGTGTGACTCAAAGTGAGTTTCACCAGCGTTTTATTCTTTTATGTTATGTAAAACAAAATCTGGACACAGTGGAAAAGAAATGGAGATCTCTACAGAGCTGGTTCGATTTCAGTAAACTATCAATGAATTTAAATCACACTCAGATAATTGTTGTTGGGAAACATGCAACAGATACACAAAGCAGACTGAGACAATAAATGAGGAGACACTTGCTTCCTGGAATCAAACTCTGGACAAATAGATAAATGAGCCAAGAGTCATGGCTCTGCTAGAGGAGGCTGTTGTTAGTTTGGCAAAGCTGCTGTGGTGTTTTCTTATTTAAAAAAACCAGCCGTCCATTACAGCCCCGTGACACTGGAACACGCTGCCTGAACAAACACACTAACAGGGCCCCGGCTTCTGTCAGCTGACGGATGAGACACGAGGGTTATCTCACTTTCTTTGTGTGAGTCTGAGGACAGCGTGTGTTGTGAGCTGTGTGTTGGAAACAGACAGCCTCCCATGTTTGAGTTATACTGATTTAGAATTCCGACACTGTACTTGTATGAACTGCATTAGTAACATTAGTGTCTGCAACTGGAAATGAGCTTGTAGCTAAATCTGGTTCGACATCTCTGATAAAAGTAAACAAAAGGTCAAATCTGAGCATGTTTGTGTTTTATTGTTGAGGAACAGTATCTGAAGTCTCTGTACATCAAGAGCCTGCATCACACAGAGGTTTGTCTCATCAAGACAGGAGCTAATGAATCTGTGCATTTCAAATAAAAACAGGCAACGTCTCAGACATTCATCATCATCGTCGTCGTCGTCGTCAGTTCAGCTCGAGGTCACATGACCGTGTGTTTGTGTAGTTCAGTTCGAGGTCACATGACCGTGTGTTTGTGTGCACCTTCAGTGTTTGTAATGACATGACAAAGTTTTAACCAGCAGTCACACACCGATCCAGTAGATTTACCTCCACCTGTTCCAGATCAGCCAATCAGCTTTGAGACCTCATCTCCATCACCACAGTGTTCAGGAACAAGCTAAGTGCTAACAGACAGGAGTTCCAAGTCATTTTCACCTCTAACATCTCCCCTCAGCAGAAATGTGCTTCTCGTTGAAGCATCTGTAATTTGCTCAGCTTTATAGCTCCTGGATGTGGATTCTGGCGGACCGGCTGATCTGGAAGCACAGCTCACACCAGTGTCACCAGTTGAAAAAGATTCTCATCATGTTAGTCAGCGACTGATTTTGACATACATCCAGGACTTGTAGTCCAGTTTTCCTGGTCAGGATTCAACAGCACACCTGTGGAAGACTAGAGCCTCAGGTCCAGGTGTGTGTATGGGCGCGTTTCCTTGGACCGACAGGTGACTTGGCCTTTCACATTTAGCTGAACTGTTGCTGCTTCTTGTTCCTGTGTCCACCCCTGATCTGGTTTTCAGGCTCCAGGAGACTGCAGAAGGGAGAAAATCCTCAGAAGCCTTTACAGGGACTTGGTCAGGTGTTTACAGTCTGTGGACCTTCATCCTCTAATCAGCTTTTGTCCATCCTGTCCTCATCTCTGTCAACCTCTACACCTTCAGTCCTGCTCTTTATCTTCCACTCGTCCCCAACTTCCTCTCCTATCATAATCCTGGTCTCTCGTCTCTCCTTGTTCACCTCCTTTCTGTCCTCCTCTGTTTCCTTTCCTTCCTCCTCACTGTCCTCCATCAGCTTTTTAACTTCCTCCTTCTTGTCCTCCTCCTCTTGTGTTTCCTTCCCTGTCTCCTCCCTGTCCTCTTTTACCTCCTTCCCTTCTTCTTCTTTCCCCTCCTGTTTCTCCTCTGATGTCTCCTGTCCTTCCCCTCCTTCTTGTTCCTCCTCAGAGTCCTCCTCATCTTCCAGTTCCAGTGGATCGGAACAATCCCTGAGAGCTTCACACCCAAGCAGGGTCTCTGTCAGGGTCTTGAGGAGGTTTGACTGGATCTCCCCAGGTTTCTGACTTGTCTCCTCCTCTGCCCCATCCTCTGTTTTCAGAGCCAGCTGGAGGCCCGTCAAATGGAATGACTTCTTCCAAAGCTGGGGGAGTTTGTTCAAGTGTGTCAGGGCCTCGACCACCCAGTCAAGCAGCAGCTGGGCCACATGCACTTGGAGCCGATGGGGTGATGTGTCCTCCAACTCCTTTGGGTTTCCAGCAGTAAACTTTGCCCAGCGTGACAGCAGGAAACGCTGCAAAACTGGCTTCACGCAAACCTCCAGAGGCTGGAGACAGAAGGAACAGCCTCCAGGGATCACTGCTGGGAGGGTACCTGATCCACTGATGGAAGTAAAGAACTGATCTCCCATGTGCTCCCGGTGTCGATCCAAGACCAGCATTGATTTACTGGGCTGAGTTGGACCAGACAGGTGCCGTAGCCAAACCTTGTTAGTCCAGAGATCCAAGGCTTCTTCTACTAAGAGACTGTCTG